CATTGTTGTTTGGCGGGCCCGGGCTGGGGATTCGAACCCGCCACCTTAGGTGTACGTGGCTGGCGCCTTAGCCGGTTGAGCTATAGGCGCCGAGCCCAGAGTCTCATTTTATAGCCCTCAGTAGAGTATTGTGGCATCACACAGCTTACAGCAACCTCCAGCTCCTGGGCTTAGGCGATTCTCTCGCCTCAACCTGAGTAGCTGGGACTACAGGCACCTACCACAATACCCAGCTATTTTTTCTTGCAGTTTGGCCAGGGCCGGGTTTGAACCCACCACCCTCGGTATATGGGGCCGGTGCCCTACCCATGAGCCACAGGCGCCGCCCCAGAACCTTAATTTTAAATTCTGCTTATTGCCAGGCATGGTGGCTCACGCTCATAATCTCAGCATTCTGGGAGCCCGAGGTGGGTAGATTGCCTGAGCTCATAGTTTGGAGATCAGCCTGACCAACAGCAAGATCCTGTCTCTAACAATTGCTGGGCGTTGTGGTAGAAGTCTGTAGTCCCAGTTACTCAGGAGGCTGAGAACTGCTTAAGCCCAAGAGTTTGAGGTTGCTATGAGCTGTGATGACATTCTACCAAGGGTGACAAAGTGACACTCTGTCTCAAAAATAAATAAATAAATAATGCTTATTTGTGTTATTTCTTGCCCCTTCATTCCAAACAAGTGGGAAAAAAATGAATCATGCAAGTGCTGCTAACGAGAATGCTCCCAGAGCCCCTCATGCCTGGGGAGCTTCTGGCAGTGTCTTGGGACAAGCTGTGTGCAGGTGTGAGAAAAGAGGTACAGGGATGCAACCTGCACCCCCATGTGGTGCTACCAGCTGGGCCAGGAGCCAACCCTGCAGTTTCTGGACTTGGAGAGGCCTAAGAGTCAGGGCAGGGGCAGTGAGCCCCTGGGGGCAGCATCTATCTACCAATAAGTGCAGGTGCCCCCACTCTCCCCAGCCTGGCCCTGTCTTCTCCCCAGCATCCTGACAGTTCTACCTACACAAAGGCAGATCTGGCCTGAGAGAGCCACAGGCTGTTCCTGCTTCTCCAGGCCACTCTATGCATTCCTGGCAGCAGGCCCTTTGTAACCCAGGCTGTGGGGATATCCACAGCCTTCCACTTCTGTGCTAATTCTTCCAGAGAGCACTGAGAGCCTTCCAGACATCATTTTACCATCCCTAAAACCTTGCACTGATTGATAAGTCACCATCAGTAACCACAGGTGACCACAGGTCACTAGAAGGTCACTGCCTCCACCAGTAGGCAGTCTGACCTTTTTAACCTTCCCTCACAGCCTTAAGAGGGGGGCTGCGGGTCAGTTCTGTGACACCACCGAGTCAGGGTCTAGAGCCCGCTCCACTGCCCAGAACCTTGGCTTTAACCCAGTCCCAGGGCTGGAGGTGCTCGTGTGGAGGGATTGACTGGGACTAGGGGCACAGCCGTGGGTGATGCAGCCCAGGCAGCTCTGAAGGTTGCAGTGAGCACCATGTGGTCCCTCATGCTGGAGGGCCATTACATGGCACTAGGTAGGGCAGGACACCCTCTTAGCAAGCCATGGATGGCCTTATTTAAAGAAAACACAATAGCCATCTTTAGTTTCCTGCTTCAGATGCTTTTAACTGAAGGAGACCTGAGGGTTGGAGCTATACACCATCAGTGGTGTGAGCAGACAAAGTAGAGGACCAGAGTGAGAGCAGCTCCTGGAGGAAGAAGGCAGAGGAAGAAAAGAAAGGGTAGAGCCTGGGCAGTCAGGCATTACCCCTGCCATAGCCCAGGGCGCTGCAGGTGGGGCACCAGCAAGCACATGTTTTTTTTTTTTTTTTTTTAGACAGAGCCTCAAGCTGTCCCCCTGGGCAGAGTGCCGTGGCATTACAGCTCACAGCAACCTCCAACTCCTGGGCTCAAGCGAGTCTCCTGCCTCCGCCTCCCAAGTAGCTGGGACCACAGGCGCCCGCCACAACGCCCGGCTATTTTTTGGTTGCAGCCGTCATTGTTGTTTGGCGGGTCCAGGCTGGGGATTCGAACCCGCCACCCTAGGTGTACGTGGCTGGCGCCTTAGCCGGTTGAGCTATAGGCGCCGAGCCGCAAGCACATGTTTTACAGCAAGAGTCCAGAGGGGCCACTGGCAGGAGCTGCCTGGGCCCTTTGGGGCAGAGCAGGGAACCCACCTCTTTCCTGAGAGCTGCAGTGTCAGAGGCTTGTGGCTGCTTCTGGCCTGAAGGTTCTCTTCCTTCCTGCCAGGTGACTGTGAGATGTGCCCCCAGCTCTGCCACCTGCGTCCGTAGCTCCAAAACCTCCAGGTGCACTTGGTCCATCTCATGGGGAAGCTCACGCTGGACAGTGTCCAGCTCAAGGGGTTTCTGCAGCACCTGGGAGGCCATGCAGGAGCAGTGTTAGGAAGGAGGCAGCAGGTGCACAGGTCCAGATGAGAGCATGAGAGGAGCCGCAAGCCAGGGTCTCCTCTGGTTGGGTGTGATCACATGTAGACCTGCACCCCAACACCTCACTCTGATCTTCCCACCTCCTGATTGGCCATCAACATCTACACCTGTGCTCTGTTTTGGACTCCAAGGCTGTGGGGGCAAGTTTGTGTGTGGAACCTGACAGAGAGACAGGCCCTTAACATCCTCTTCCCAAGCTCTAGTCCCGGGTACAAACAAATGCTTCTAGAAAACTGCAAGTAATCAAAGGGAAGTATGGATTTTTCTTTTCTGTTAATTAAAAAGGGCAGAGCTGGGGCAGCGCCTATGGCTCAAAAGGGTAGGGCGCCGGCCCCATATGCCAGAGGTGGCAGGTTCAAACCCAGCCCCAGCCAAAAACTGCAAAAAAAAAAAAAAAAGGGCAGAGCTAGAGGGGCAGCTGCAAAGGAGCTGGGAGGGCTGATGCTGAAGCTTCTGAGAGGCAGGTGGGAGACCTGGAGGCAGAGGAGAGGCGGGGGTGACCAGAAGGCTGGGAAAGGGGAGTTGCAGAACACAGGAATGGCTACAGGTGGCTGCAGTGTGGCCAGGGGATTCCCGCCTGTGTCCCCAGCCCAGCCTCCCTGGGGACCCTGGTCTGGCCCCTACCTTGGGCGCTTCCCTTCACTTTGTCCTATCCCTCACGCAAGGAGAGAACAAGAGTAAGCAGACAGGGAAATTCACACACACTCTCCATACCTTTCACCGTCCTATCTTATTCTCAGGAAGAGAAAATACTACTTTTCCTATTTGGGGATGCCTATGGATAATTTATTTTTGAATTTGTCCCATACACACTGGGTCCACTTCATGAGGACCCTCATGATCTGGCACAGTTAAGTAAAAAAAAAAGAAAAACTACAAAAAATACTTTAAGAACATTTTCCCCAGACTGATCAAATCATCTATATTAACAAGATAAAACCACAATCTATTTTTAAAAAATTTTTTTTCTGAGACAGAGTCTCACTCTGTGCCCTGGGTAGAGGTCAGTGGCATCACTGTAGCTCACAACAACTTAAAATTCCTGAGCTCACGTGATTCATCTACCTCTGCCTCTCAGAGTATTAGGATTATAGGTGTCAGCCACCATGCCTGGCCTATTTATATGTTTTTTATTTGTAGTATTTGTGTACGAGTGTGTTCAAGTACAAAATTCCAACACAGGTAGAACTGGGAAGGGACAACACTAGACCGTCACAGGTCTGGAGTTTCCTTCCTCCCACAGGTATGCAAAGATCTTTAATCTCACCAACAGAAATGGAAAGTGGTCAAGTTCATCTCCACTGCAACAATAAAGACGCACGTCCAATCAAGACATCAAACGTCATCAAAACACGGTAAGTACATGAAGTGCTGAGTATGTTCACGTGCCTGACGTAGCTGTTCCACAAGGTATATACTTCACAGCAACATTGTATGTCATAAATACACAATACTTATTTGCCATTTAAAAATAAACAAATAGGCTTGGCGCCCATAGCTCAGTGGTTACAGCGCTAGCCACATACACCGAGGGTGGCGGGTCTGAACCTGGCACAGGCCAGCTAAATAAACAATGACAACTGCAACAAAAAATAGCCAGGCATTGTGGCAGACTCCTGTAGTCCCAGCTACTTGGGAGGCTGAAGCAAGAGAATTGCTTAAGCCCAAGAGTTTGAGGTTGCTGTGAGCTATGATGCCATAGCGTTTTCTGCTTCAGAAAAATATAAATAAATAAACAAACAAATAAATAAAATAAAAATTTTGGGGGTGGCGCCTATAGCTCAAGCAACTAAGGCACCAACCACATACACCAGAGCTGGTGGGTTCAAATCCAGCCCGGGGCCACCAAACCACAATGGCAACTACAACCAAAAAATAGCCGGGCATTGTAGTGAGTACCTGCAGTCCCAGCTACTTGGGAGGCTCAGGCAAGAGAATTGCTTAAGCCCAGGCGTTGAGGTTGCTGTGAGCTGTGATGCCACAGCACTCTACCCAGGGGGATAGCTTGAGGCTCTGTCTCCAAAAAAAAAGAAAGAAAGAAAAAAATCTTTGGAAGGTAAAAAAAAAGTTAAGGCATCCAATATCTGGAGCCAGGCCTGTACCTGCAGCATCACAGTATAATTCACATATTTATAAACTTGAGAGGGCAGTTGAAAGTTCCCTCTTTGTTTGTTTTTTGAGACAGAGCCTCAAGCTGTCGCCCTGGGCTGGATTTGAACTCACTAGCTCAGGTGTACTCAGTTGGTGTCTTATCCACTTGAGCCACAGGCACTGAGCTGAAAGTTCCCTCTTTTGTTTCATGAGAAACAAAAAGCAACAGGATAGAAAGAGCCAGAAGCACAAGCAACAAGAAAAAGTAGATAAACTAGAATTGATCACAATGAAAAATGTCTGTACTCCAAAAGATACCATCAGGAAATAATAGGACAGTAGGAGGAAAGGCCATCAGCCCCACATCTGGTTAGGGCTTATGCCCAGGGACACGAGGAGAATTCTTATGACTCAGCCCTGAGAAGACTGATGATCTAAACAGACATTTCTCCAAATAAGACGTATAAATGACCAAGCAGCCCAAGAAAACATCACCTTTTATCAGGAAAACACAAATAAACCACAAGATGACACCTCACAGATAGAATCACAAAGAGAAAACAACTAGTGGCTCTGCGCCTGTGGCTTAAGCGGCTAAGGCGCCAGCCACATACACTTAAGCTGGCGGGTTCAAATCCAGCCCTGGCTCGCCAAACAACGAAGGCTGCAACCAAAAAATAGCCAGGCATTGTGGCGGGCGCCTGTGGTCCCAGCTACTTGGAAGGCTGAGGCAGGAGACTTGCTTGAGCCCAGGAGTTGGAGGTTGCTGTGAGCTGTGATGTCACAGCACTCTACCCAGGGGGACAGCTTGAGGCTCTGTCTCAAAAAAGAAAAGAAAACAACTAGTGTGGTGAGGATTTGGAAAAAACAGAGCCTTCACACCTCTGGGTGAGGGGGAGGGGATGGAAATGGTTCTCCTGCTTCAGAAAACAGTCTGGTGGTTCCTGAGAAGGCTGCATGTAGAATCCTTAGAGGGACCAGCAATTCTACTTCCAAGTATATACCCAGGAGAATTGAAAACATAAGTTTGCACAGAAACTCACACAGGAATGTTCAAACAGAATTATTTACTGTCCAAAACAACCCAAATGTCTATCTACACACAAGCAGATGAACAAAATGTGGTCAGTTCACACAACAGAATATTTTCAGCCCTGAGGAGTGAGGCTCTCTGACACACACACAAATGAACCCTGAAACATCATACTGAGTGAGAGAAGCTAGACAGAAAAGGACAGATACTGTCTGACCCTGTCCATGGGAGGCCCTGGAAGAGACGACTTGCAGAGACAGAGAGCAGGCAGGGGGATACCAGGGCAGCAGAGGGGGAGTTACTGCTTATAGGTGCAGAGTTTCCATTTGGGGGTGTATGAAAATTTACACAGTATTATGAATGTACTTAGTGCCAGTGAAGGGGCACATAAAAATAGTTAAAATGGTAAAATCTGTTATGCATATTTTACCATTATCTTTTTATTTTTGTTTTTTTGAGACAGAGCCTCAAGCTATCGCCCTGGGTGAAGTGCCATGGCATCACAGCTCACAGCAACCTCTAACTCCTGGGCTCCAGTGAGTCTCCTGCCTCCGCCTCCCAAGTAGCTGGGACCACAGGTGCCTGCCACAACACCCGGCTATTTTTTGGTTGCAGCCGTCGTTGTTTGGCGAGCCAGGGCTGGATTCAAACTCGCCAGCTTAGGTATATGTGGCTGAAGCCTTAGCCGCTAGAGCCATAAGTGCCAAGCCACCATTATCTTTTTAAAGTAAAAAACAAAAAGATATTATGAATTTGGAGCAATCAAACTGAGGGTGTGATACCAGCCACAGGGGTAACAGGATGAAATTTGTGCTGGAATTCAAGTGGCTTTCAGCAAAGCATGATCACAGCCTTACCCCTCAGAAACGCACTGGACCAGGGGATCTCAAAGGGTGGCACTCACTGTGGTGCTACCAACAGGAGGAGCACCAACAGGCTTTTACCTAGCTGAGCTGAGCATAGCACCCTGGCCACTCCTTGGGCCTGTCGAGTGGGCAAGTGACATCGGGGCAGCCTGAGGTGCATGGAGCGCCTCTAGCGCCGCACCCTGGTCTAGACATTCTGTCTTTTTCAGCAGATTCTCACTGATCACATGTGAGCTATGCAAATTACTCCCACAACAGCCCTCTTCTTGGTTAGGAAGGAGACAAGCGCAGAGAGGGCAGGTGGACATCCAGGGTCACATGGGGCTGCACTTAGCAGGTGCGCAGAGCCCGTATATGCCCACCCATGGGAACAGCTCTGGTAGGAAGACCCCATGCTGCAAGTGTCAGTGTCTTCCTGACTGGTCTGATGGGACAGCCTCACCTTCTTCCTGAGCCGTGTCACCAGCAAATTCAAGAAATGCACTCTGTCTCTGAGCTTCCTGAGGGCCAATCCAGTGCACACTTGATGAGCTTGTACAGACCCTCCAGGAGAGAAAAGAGACTATTGTCAGGCTCTGTTCTTAAAAAATAAGGTCTTTGGCTCGGCACCTATAGCTCAACCTGCTAAGGCGCCAGCCACGTACACCTAAGGTGGCGGGTTTGAATCCCCAGCCCGGACCCACCAAACAGCAATGACGGCTGCAACCAAAAAATAGCCGGGAGTTGTGGCGGGCGCCTGTGGTCCCAGCTACTTGGGAGGCAGAGGCAGGAGACTCGCTTGAGCCCAGGAGTTGGAGGTTGCTGTGAGCTGTGATGCCACAGCACTCTACCCAGGGGGACAGCTTGAGGCTCTGTCCCAAAAAAAAAAAAAAAAAAAAAAGGTCTTTCAGGGAGATGAACATCACCCTGTCTCTGCCGTCTCCACTGAGGCCCGAGGTCCTGCTGGCTGATGCCAAAGTGAAGATGTTCTTTACAGTGGCCCCCAGCCAGTCCACATGAAGATCAGACATGAGCTATAGATAAAGTAACCTCTACGCAAAGAAAGGCATGTTTATAGGGAGAAAATCCAACTTACCCCATAGGTTATAATAGAGACCAATTGCTCTATTCTCCCTACTTAAATTTGGTGCCATCTGTTTGAAAATCAAGCAAAAGACATCTACATAACACATGATTCAAAGAAGAAATCACAGTTTTGTTTTTTTTTTTTTTTTTTTTTGAGACAGAGCCTCAAGCTGTCCCCCTGGGTAGAGTGCCGTGGCATTACAGCTCACAGCAACCTCCAACTCCTGGGCTCAAGCGAGTCTCCTACCTCCGCCTCCCAAGTAGCTGGGACCACAGGTGCCCGCCACAATGCCCGGCTATTTTTTGGTTGCAGCAGTCACTGTTGTTTGGCGGGTCCGGGCTGGGGATTCGAACCTGCCACCTTAGGTGTATGTGGCTGGCGCCTTAGCCGGCTGAGCTATAGGCGCCGAGCCAAGAAATCACAGTTGTTATTACAAAGTACAATAGATGCTCCACAGCTGACCACCTCAAGTTGACCTAATTTTCACCAACCAGACATGCACCACCTGTGCGTATCAATATAGGAGGCCTAGTTCCTTGTGGTGACCACCTCTGTATACTAACCAGACCTGCCTCATCATGCCCCCTCCCTCCTTAGAGATGTCCTTTGTGACTCATTAACAGGCCTAAAGCTCTGCAAGACAACACCACCTGTTGGTCCTCAATATACACAGCAAACCACTTGGGCCTGCGCTTGTTTGTCTCTGATTAACAGACCCTTATCTTAACTCAGCATGCCTTTCTGCTGACTTCTGGTCTATTAGACAAAGCCTAAGCCTTCCAGTCAGTTGTCAACTGAAGAATCTTTAAACGTACCCTTGAGATGTCCCACCTTTTTGGGCCAAAGCAACGTATGCCTTCTACATCTTGATTATGACTTTACCTGTAATTTCTGTCTCCTTGAAATGTATAAAACCTGTCACTCCACCACCTGAGTCCACTTGTTCAAGGCTTCTTGGGCTTGGCTCTAGGCTATGGTCCTCAAATTTGGCTCAGGATAAACATCTTTAAATTATACAGAGTATGGCCTTTGAACCGGAAAAGGGAAAGTACAGGAGGGGCCCTGGAGACCACATGCACCTCCTCCTGGAAACAGCAGCACTCCCATCGCCTAGCCTACCTCACATGCCTGCCTGCCCAGCACCTTGCTGAGCACACTGGCTTCTTCCAGAGCGCTCTACCCCAAGGCGAAAGAGTGAGACTCTGTCTCCAAAAAAAAAGGATTTTGAGGCTGAGCCTGGGAGGAGCACAGCCGAGTGCTTTGGCTGAGCATCTCCTGTGGATGGGCTCCCAGTACATCTGGATTAAGTATAAGGAACATGCAATAAAGGGGGTAATCGGCCAACGCAGAGAGCGCAGGCACTTCTCAGGGTGCAGAGAAGTGATTGTATTTCTTGCTGGGTTTGCTTCTGTGGAGATGAATTTCTAATTGACATTTAAGAGTTCATTCAGGCTAGGCTCAGCGCCTGAAGCACAGTGGTTATGGCGCCAGCAACATGCATCAAGGCTGGCGGGTTAGAGCTTGGCCTGGGCCAGCTAAACAACAATAACAAAGAAAACAGCTGGGTGTTGTGGCAGGCACCTGTAGTCCCAGTTACTTGGGAGGCTGAGGTAAGAGAATCGCTTAAGCCCAAGAGTTTGAGGTTGCTATGAGCTGTGAGGTCACAGTACTCTCTCTACCCAGGGCTATACAGTGAGACTCTGTCTCCAAAAAAAAAAAAGAAAAAGAGTTTATTCAGGCTACAGTCCTAAGGTTATAACTAACATGCACTAATTTTATAAGCGCTGTATATTTTGAAGGATTTTTTTTAAGGGCTGAAGGAAATAAGAAGTCTTTTATACCCAAATACATTTCTTTGTCATATATTGAGATGGCTGTGGGTGAAAAGGAATATGCTACATGGCTGTCTTTGTGGGGAGGATGGGAGAGATTTTCCTCTGTGCAAACTGTTAAACACAGCTGGCCCTGCCTATTCAGGTCATCCCTAAAGATCTGAATAAATAGCACTTCCCTAAGGGCTGTGACTATGGGGCTTATCAGCATAACAAGACCACAAGCAGCTTCACTACCTGACCCCCCAATCCCTGTGTCATCATTTTCTAAGCCTCTTCATTTTTTAAGAGAGGACCGTGCACCTCACTGGGGAGGGGAGGCCATGCTTGTGCAACTCAGTTCTCCCTTTTAGGGGTCCTGAGAATGTTTTTCTTTACAATGGAAATTGTAATCTCACTGAATGGGCTCAGTAGCAAAATGGAAATGATAAAAGGAAAAATGGACAAACTTAAAGGACGGCTCAACAGAACCAATCTGAACAATGAAGGAAATACTCTGAGGGAAAAAAACAGCCTCAGAGATCTGCAGAACAATAATAGAAGATCAAACTCCCAAGAGGAAAAAAAAAGTATGGAATTGAAAAAAAATACTTAAATAAATAATGGATAAAAACTCCCCAAATTTGGTCAAAGATAGACATTTGGATTCTACATTAAACAGGATGAACTCAGGAAATCTATGTCCAGGTACAACTAATGAAATTTCTTTCCTTTTCTTTCTCTTTTTTGGAGACAGAGTACAGTGGCCTCACACTCCTGGGCTCAAGCGGTCCTCCTGCCTCAGCCTCCCGAGTAGCTGGGAATATAGGTGTCTACCACCATACCCAGTTTGTTTTTCTATTTCTTGTACAGATGGGATCTTGCTCTTGAACTTTGAACTCCTGAGCTCAAGGGATCGTCCCACCTCAGCCTCGCAGAGTGCTGGGATTACAGGTTCAAGCCACCATTCCAGGCTGAAATTTCTTAAACTAAAGATAAACTCGAGATAGCACACAGGGAAGTAATGCATGATCTGCAGGGGACACTGGTCCTGGAGCTGTGGGTTTCTCAGTAGAAACTATCATCTGATTTCTTGTCAGAAGGAAGCAGAATAACATTTTCTAAGTGATGAAAGCAAAGAACTGTCAAACCATTGCTTCATATCCAGTAAAACATTCTTCAGGAATGAAAGTGAATAAAGACATTCTCAGATAAAAGGAACCAGCCGACCTGCTCCAACAGGATCATTAGAGTCCTCCAGTCCAGAAGGAGGCAGAGCCCTAGGAAGGCAGAAAGATGGGCTGGAAGGGTAGACGTGTAATCACGCTTTCACTCTTGAGCTTTTGAGATTATGTTTGACAACTGAAAGCAAAAGTTATAATCCTGTTTGATGTGTTTCTAAACACATACAGATATCTAAGGAATCTGTGATAAAGGAGGAAGGGTAACTGGTGTTAAGATCCCTATGTTCTACTTGAAATTGCACAGTGATGATACTAGTGAGGAAAGAAAAACAGCTCATACCAGTCCAAGCTACGTGAGGTGTGTAAAATTTTTGAGACAGCTTTCAACTTCAGTCACACACCTTCCCCATGGGAGCAATTGCTGGAAAGCATTTTATCCCTGGTGTAAAGCATTCTGCTCCTGACTAGCAGCCTAACCCACTGTCTTCCTGTTCCTGGACTTTATGGTACGAAGAACAATGTACAGCCAATTTATAGTTACGTTTTTTTTTTTTTTTGAGACAGAGCCTCAAGCTGTCCCCTGGGTAGAGTGC